TGGATTTCCTAGCAACCGCTACGATCTTCACAACACCCTGCTCCCGTATTGGAAACTCCGCGATGAACTTTACTGCGACGGAGACCTTGTTCTGTACGGAGCACGTGTAGTTGTCCCTGCTGCATTACGTCCCCACGCCTTGGCTCGCCTTCACGACAGTCACCGTGGAGCTGAGGCCACCAAACGACGTGCACGACAGACTGTGTTCTGGCCCGGCATCAACTCCGACATCTCCAATGTTGTCCGTGCGTGTGAGCCCTGCCAAGTATTACAACCCAGCCAGCAGCAGGAACCCTTCATGAGTGACGACAACCCCACCCGCCCCTTTGAGTCTGTGTCGGCCGACTTTTTCTCTGTGTCAGGAAAGTCCTTCCTTGTTATCGTCGACCGTCTCTCTGGTTGGCCGGTTGTCATCAAGTGCGGTAATGACACGACGTCTGCCGCCACCATCAGCAAGTTCCGCCACTACTTCCGTGACGTGGGCGTTCCTGTACGCCTGCGAACCGACGGAGGGCCTCAGTTCACAAGCCGGGACTTTGCCGTGTTCCTCGACCGATGGGGAGTCCGGCATGTGTTGTCATCGCCCCATTACCCGCAGTCCAACGGCCACGCTGAGGCTGCTGTCAAATCCTTGAAGCACCTCATCCTTAAGGTGGCCCCTTCTGGGAATATTGACTGCGAGGCCTTCGACCGGGGTCTTCTTGAACTCCGCAACACACCTAACTACACCGGACGCTCCCCTGCCCAGGTTTTGTATGGACGCCCCCTTCGTTCTTGTGTCCCTGCTCACCCTCAATCCTTCTCCAAGGTGGCAGGCCAAGACAGAGATTGTGATCGCCGAGCCGCCGAACGTGTTCAGGACGTCGTCGCCCGCTACAACGACCACGCCCGTTCTCTCCCCAGGTTGAGTGTCAGTCCGTGTTCAGGACCCGACCTCCCTACGTTGGGACAAAGTAGGCGTAGTCATGGGTCTCGGCAGGTCACGGGACTACCAGGTGCGGTTACCCAGTGGTCGTGTGTGGTGGAGGAACCGCCGTTTTCTCCGCCCCGTAACACTGCCTTCTGCTGGCCCCGCCACCAGTGTTGAGTCCCATACCCTTCCCAGTGATGAAGTCCCTCGACGCTCAGAACGGATCCAGAAGAAAGGTCCGCTCAAGACTTTGCTATGAGCGTATAGGGGGGAGGGAGGTGTATGTATATTATGTATGCTGGATTATGTATTATGTATGTATATTATGTATGTGCTCCATTTATATTTATTCAGCCTAGCTAGCAGCGTGTGGCAATGTTATTACCATATCCCACACGCTTAATTAATGTGCCTGGCGACGTATGGAAGCTGCTAATGTATCACTTGCCATACGTCGTCTATGGTAGTTGACCAGGACCTTAGCTAGGGAGCAGCGCTACCCACCTCTGTGTACATACTCTAATCCAGTAAACCGAACCTACAAAACTATACAGGTGTTTGTGTTCTCTCCTGTATATAGAACTTATTACCCAGAATACCTAACAAGAATCTCTTCAAAATTCATTTTAGGTACAGATACATGCAACGAGCAACTGACGTCTAATTGGAAGACCAAGCCCCTGAAGGAAAGGTGGGAGAGAAGAGGGGATTCGATGGGGAAGGGGGGGAGATAAGAGGGTATGCTAGGTGAGGTGGGTGGTCAAGGTGCTAATGGACACAAGAAGATTAAAGGAAGGTTGCATCTAGTGAGGGAGGGACGGTGGCAGTGTCCTTCCTGTGTTGGTGCTTGTCTGCCTCAGTTTGCAGTGTGCTAACTCAAAAGTATTGACACTTTCTCGTGTGGTGCTTCTCCAAGCGTTACGGTGTGGAGTAATCATCTCCCAGGTGTTGGGGTCGATTTGGCACTTTTTCAGTTTGTCTTAAGACTATCCTTATACCTTTTCAGTTGCCTAACGGCATTACATTTACTATTCGTTAGGTGACTGTAAAGTAGCTGCTTTGACAGTCTACTGTCGTTCATGCGGGTAACATGGCCAGTCCAGTGTAGTTGTTGTTGGATAATGGTAGCCTTGATGCTCCTACAGTTGGTGTAAGCAAGAATACTGGCATTTGTTCTCTTTGTCTTCCCAGCAAACTCGGAAGATGGAACTTCGACTACGTTGGTGAAAGTTTTCAAGTGCCTTGAGGTGTCTCCTGTATGTGACCCATGTCTCACTGCCATATAGTAGGGTGGGGAGGACTGCTACTTGATATACATGTAGCTTTGTAGATAATTTCAGTTCCCTACAGCTGAAGACACAGTTACTGAGTCTGCCAAAGGCTTGAGATGCACTTCTGATCCGATGCTGATCTCTTCATCGATGTCTGAGGTGGTGGACAGGTGGGAGCCGAGATACCGAAAGTGGGTAACATTAGAGAGGGTAGTACCGTTGAGCTGGATGGATGGTGGAGGTGTGTCTGAACCAGGGGCAGGCTGAAAGAGAATCTGAATCTTACACACACACTCACCTCAAGGCCAAAGTGTGCATACACATCTGTGCAGGTGTTCAGGATCTCCTGTAGGTTGTGTTCAATGTGAGCAACAACGGTGAGGTCGTCTGCATACTGAAGTTCAGTAATGGAAACTGCCGACACCTTAGTTCTTGCCTGGAGTCGTCTTATGTTGAAAAGACCCTTCAGCCGGTACTCTATGTCCACCCCGTTGGCTAAATTGGCACTGACAAGAGTAAGGAAGGCAACCAAGAAAATGGAAAAGAGAGTTGGTGCCAGTAAACACCCATGTTTAACCCCTGTCTGGATGGAGAAGAACTCAGACTAGGTGCTGTTGTGCAGGACACTGCCATTCTTGCCATCGTGGAGTTGCCTCACAATGGGGATGAATTTTGGTGGACAGCCAAAACGGCTGAGGGTCCATCAGAGGGCTTCTCTGTTGACCTAGTCGAAGGCCTTGGTTAGGTCAATGAAAGCCATGTACAGGTCACAACGCTGTTCTCTGCACTTTTCCTGTATCTGGCGGGCAGCAAAGATTATGTCAGTGGTGCCATGTAATGGTCTAAAGTCACATTGAGATTCTGGGAGGAAGTTTTCCACCTCAGGTAGTAGTCTGTTTAGGAGGACTCGGACGATAATCTTGCCAGCTACGGACAGCAGTGAGATCCCACGGTAGTTACCACAGTCTGACCGGTCTCCCATGTTCTAATAAATATTGACGATGGAGGTGTCTTTAAGAGCTTGGGGGATTTCCTTCTTTTCCCATATATTCTCCAGGAGAGAGTGGTGATGGCTGGTAAGCAGAGGTCCTCCTGCCTTATACACCTCGGCTGTGATTCCATCAGGCCCTGAGGCTTTGTTATTTTTCATCCGTTTGATGGCAGTAACTACCTCATCCAGGGATGGAGGATAGCTGAGGGACCTGCTGGGTAATCAGAACATCCACATCAGTGTTTCGGTTGAGCAGTGAATGGTAGTGCTCTTTCCATCCCTGAAGGAGGCCTTCATCGTCTTTAATTATGAGGTTACCATCAGATGAGCGGAGGGGGCTGTGCTACGAAGGTGTTTTAATGGAATTGAAAAATTTGCACATCTTGTGCTGATCTTCAAGCTTTTGTGCTTCACATGCTTTATTTTTAAGCCAGTCATTCTTTACATTGCGAAGTTTCTGCTGGGCTGCCGCTTTCTTCTTGCGGAAGGTATCCGCTTTGGTCTGAGACTGAGGCTATGTGACCGCGTGGTGTCTCCCCACACCATACCCGTCACCCACACCATACCCGTCACCCACACCATACCCTTCATGGCTTCACCTATACCATACCCTCCACCCACACAACTCTTTTACTGTGGTTAATAATTAATTAATTAATTAAAAAAAATTTTATTAGTTTGCCACAGACATTGAAACTCTGTGTTTGGGGGCATGTAACGGGTAACGATTTATTTTTTATTTTTTCAAATGTATTGGAGTAAAAGTATTAGAAACCCATACTTAAGTAATAGTACTGAAAAATTTGAGTACTTTTTAAATTAAAAAGTAAATACCCAAAAATGTTGCTCTGCTTGTACAGTAGGGTCGGGATATATCGCGAGATAGGGTCCAAGGATGTTCACTATATACAAAATCACGATATATAATTACTGTACATGTAATCAATGGGGAAAATAGGGTTCGGTTCTGGAGGCCAATAAAAGTGACTAAACTTGACTTAACGAGTTTATTTTCTTACTAACTAAAGCACCAATGAACACTAGACTCGGGAACAACAGACTGTTTCAATATCAATATCAAGGAACACTGGCCTCAGGAACACCGGCCTCAGGAACACCAAACTTGGCAGCTGACGCACCATCCCAGGAACACCAGATGCCACACTGCCACCCTCACTTGACAATCCCACACCTACGTAAACGAACAAACAAAAAATATTAGTTACAGTATTAAATCTTTTCCATTAAGTTTTCCATTATCCTCACTTCCCTTTTCATGTCACTAGCAACCCATTTACACTCACCTTAGAAGTCGGAATCAGCAGCAGAGTCGGCTGCTGACTCGTCACTTATTCAGAAAGACTGCGGAATAGCGTGAATGCGTGAGTGAGCAGCCACGGTGGCACCTCTGGTGAGCAAATAATGCATTTGTTTGCCATGGCGGTACATTTGAAATATTTCCTGCCCGATTTCCCTTGCAAAATAACAAAAATTATCGCTAAAGGAAAATTTTGATAATTTTGGTAGCCGCGATAAAAAAAAATTGTTATATAAAGTCGCGATATATCCCGACCCTACTGTACTCGTACAGTATACCAGTACTGTAATTGTAAGGTAATATAAGCTGGGGTGCCTAGTCTTCACATGATCCCAAATTTTTGACATAGCTTGAGTTAATCAGTACAAACATCCAGTAATATGAATAAATACATTACTGTGCATCAAATAATGCAAGCAATAAAATGTATCCATTAGGGTTACATTTTAGAAACTCTTATCACTACATATTTTCTGCATTAATTTACTGATTTCCTTAATTAAAATCCAGGTAATAACATTGTCTGACTTGGAGTGTGACTACCTGAATGCTCAACAATGCTGCTACAGGCTGAACGTTGTGAGTCTTGCCTATCTTTTTTATATAAAGTATTTAGTGCCTTTAACATTTTTTGTGTGCAGTTCAGTAAAACCTCATCAATTAGGGGAAAAGATCTTAAATTAGGTGAATTTTTAATTAGTTATACACTGAAGATATGGTATTAGCCTGACAAGATACATTTTTTTAACAGAAATTTGAAATTGATTTGGAAATTTTAATGTACAGTACAGTACAGCACTGTATAGTTAGAATTACCTGCAATATTACAGATAAGTGACACCTTGCATTGAAACCTGATTTTTTGTTGGATAGTTCATATACTGTACAGTACAGCACTGTTAGAATTAGCTGTAGTTATTCTGGCTTATTTCAAAATGGAGAGATTTGAATAAATAAGGTTTGGAGGTTCAGGCATTGACTGTTATACGATGGATCTATGTATGATTGATCAGTTTTACGATGTTAAAACTTTAAAACCGTTTACCATCATGCGATGGCTAAGATCACTTTTCTTGCATTGTCACTGCTATGAAAAAGAGATGTGCAATAACTAGATGATGCAATCTCAAAATAGCATAACACATGCAATCCACACAGGATGTGTGGGAGGTTCTGCTCATCCTCAGTGACTGCCAGGCTGAATAGTTGAACTGTGTCACATCACCCAGAGGATGGTATGCATATGGAAGAAGCTATCCTATGCACATAAGAATATATAGGGGTACCCGTATACTGTACCAGTAAATGTAAGGAATAAGTAAAATTAAAGAACAAAACTCTGCATCGCCATTTGTCATTCATGTCACTATGCACGGGACACGAGTTAGCGAGCCGAGATCCCCCATTCTGTATGAATGATTGTTTGTGCATGTAACAATTAAAAAATGAAGAAAATAAACTTATTTCTATCTGAAATTACAAGTTATAATAACTACTGGGTGATAACCTGGCTCTTCAGGGTCTCAGAAATGATCAATCACCTAATAACTTTTTGAATTCCCTAACCCCATCGTATAATAGTCAACACCTGTATGTACTGTACTGGTAGTACACTGTATACTATAATTACAAGTTACAATTAAAACTTTTTCCAGCCACAGTTAATCAATACATTTTTCCCCTTGATAATTTTATTCAACATGGCAAAAATCATTCTAAATTCTTATTAATGAAACAGCCAGCTTTTCATTAGTAATAATAGATACAGGCTATCCATAAATTACTGAACTCATTTTAAAACTAATTAACCTCAATAATTTATAGACACCCATTTTTTGGGCAAGACCCGCAAAATGGTGACAGTTATGTAGGAGTATTTTCAAACAGTAATTACATACCGGTACAGTATATATAATGTAACATCTGACTTACTCTTGAGAGAATTCTGTTTTCAAAGAATATTATTTTCTTGTTTACAGTGGGTCATCCCCAAGATTGGAGCACATGTTGTATTGTCCCTTGTGTTCCTCCTGACGGGCCACTACTACCTCCTCTTGGCCTCCATTCCCCTTGCTGTGTTCCTCATCCGCGAGTATGTTCACCTGCTGTATATGTTACTCTAATAATGTACAATACTGTGTTTAGAGGAGTTTCTATTTAAGTAAACTTAGTGTCAAGCTTGGAAAGACACTTAGGATATATTTTGACAAATCAGGCATGATGTTGTTCATACTACACACCAGTAGTTTTAATGAAGTAGTACACATCTGTGTTTCCTTTCCATAATTAGGGCTTCCATTTTGGATAATTTTGTTATAAAATTATTTCAAAATATACCGGATGATTACAAATGATCTTCACAATTTTAATCATTTATTATGAGGAAACTGAGAATGCAACTTTTTCCTCTGTGGTTATATCAGAAATGAAGTATCTTGTCATCCACAAGTGTATCTCCTGGAGGGTACCTGGAGATGTTAGTTGCCAGCCAAGTGAGAGCTCAAGGTCCTCACTTTTCCACAACCATGCATGTGCTCCATCATTCACATTTGTTATGTTGGTAACAGAATGGACAATGCAGCTGACCTACATACTATATAAAGAGACGACCTCCTCCTCATTTGTTCTACTTACAGTATTTCAGCAGCCCAGTGGTTTTTCGTCATATTTTGTGTGCTTCTCTTATGGAAATTATTTTGTATATTTCCACCAAGAATTCATGATTAATGAATATTTCACTGGCAGCTTGCCAGCCGGAGTTCTGTAGTGTCTTCATATGTACAGATAGTGGACCTCTGTGATAATTCATTGTTGAATGGGTTTGATGTTAGGGATGGGCTATGGATTTCTCTGTACAGTGTACCATATATAAGTTATGTAATCCATGATTCACTTGTATAAATGAATAAATAATGGTGTTTGATTATTACTATTACCGGTACTGTATTAATAATTAAATACAGTGGTCCCTCGGTTAACGAGCACAATTCGTTCCAGAAGGTTGCTCGTTAACCGAAAAACTTGTTAACCGAAATCATTGTTTCAATGGGTTTTTGGGTAATTGGTTCCAGCTCACCAAAAATTGCCTAAAATCAACAAAAAAGGTAGTAAAGTACACTTACTTTGAGGTGTGTATGTAGAAGGCTCCTGGATGATGATGATGTGAATTAGAATGGGGGTGGAGGAGAAAGGAGAAGAGAAGGCGTTGAGGTGGAAGAGAAGTCACCCCATGGCGCCATTTCATCCATAAAATTTTAGTTTTCTTGGTGTAATTCAAGATTATTTTCTTTAAATCAACACTGCATTGCATTATATATTGTCAATATGTAAAATATATATCAAAATGACCAATAATTTGCTTGGAAACACAGAAAAAAGCATTTAGTTGAAGAGAGTCTCAAGCAAGATGTTACCTTCACTGAAAAGAGACAGAGACTGACACCTATATGGTGTGTTGACAGGCTGTTTGGCGCGCAAGAAACTAGCTTCCTATACTTCAATTAGGTTCAATAATTGTTAAAATGACTAAAAAATTTAATATAAAACTTTTAGAATTATTGAATAGTACAAACTTCTTGATATTTACTAAAATAGTAAGGAATTTAGGCCCTAGAACCGATTAATGTATTGGCGGACTAATACTACAGCTGGTGGACCGCCAGATGCAAACGAAAACATGTGGAGGGGCGCTCGTTAAAAACTCGTTAATCGAGGGATTGATCGTTAACCGAAGTTAAGAATCTTATGGAAGGTAATTCGTTTACCGAAATCTCGTTAACCGAGGCACTCGTTAATAGAGGGCCCACTGTACTGTAATATGATGAACATAAGTGGACATCGGATTTGTTCAAGTTAAGACGAATTAAATATTTCTTATAAATCACTATAACCCTGGTGAATTAGTTTATAATAAATAAACTAAGATTACCGGGGTACATTATAATTGTATTGTAAATACTAATTTTATTAAATATTGTTGAGCCTGTCAATGAAGAAAATAATCTTAAGTTTGAGATGACATATGTGTCATGTGATGATTGGTTCCTGCTGGTTTGGTGGGTTTGGTCAGTCAGAACTTTTGACACCACCTTGGAACACTGACAGGTTAAGATAAAACCACAACTTAGTACTGTGCACTTTATATTTACACAACTTTTGTTCTGCATGGTTGCAATCCTCAACACTGGCAGAGCCTCGGCAAGAATAAAATAATGGGTTCATAACACCTTTCTGCTAATGATTTTAGCTGTATGACAGTTACATGTAGGAGAAAGGTTGAATTCGGACAGGAGGTAAGCCTCCATTAATTAAAAACAATTTCATTCAATGTCACAACATTTGACACTGTTAACCACTCAGTCTTAGGCAGTAATATTAATGTCGAGTGGATTCAGTGCTTGCATCCTTTTCCAGGGGTCTGTGGTTTGATTCCTGGGCACTACCAGTTCACCCAGCTGTAAATGGTTAACTAAGTTTACAACTTGGGAAAGTGAATGCAGTTGAGGGCAGTACCGGCCATGCTGCCTCCTTGTGTACTGTAGGCTTAGTGTGCGCTGATGTTCATTTAGTAGATTATTATGGTTTAATGGTGTTTACTGTTATCGTAACTGCTAATCCAGTACTTGTTGATTAGCAGAACAATAGAAATAATGTAAGAAATTTAGATTGGGCGTTATATATATGTTGCATTTAATTTAGGTTATATTGAGTTAAAGTAATATTTGATGGTTACCTGAATTGTAAATAATTACTCCTGATTTAAATAAGAGTCTTGCGCAAGTCTACATTCCTTTGTCTGCGCCCGCATCCTACTAGTTGCTGTTGAATGTCAAATTATCTGCCATCTTCAGTTCCCTAATGATCCTGACCAGAGAAACACAACACTCACCACCTTCAGTAAAAACCTGTGATCATGGAGGGACTCACCAACTAAGCTCAACCATTAATTCCTGACCTCCATCCACAGCAGCAAACCTTGAATATCAATTATATTGTTGGATATCCTAACTTTATACTTTGTACGTATAGTTTGATGTTATGATGTAATATAAACTCCGACATTGCTACTTAAGGTTATCACCCATTTCGAGTGTTTATTTAATTCATATAACGTAATGCAAATATTTCTTCTCCTGATATCAACCAATTCAGGATAACTGTATTCTGTACTGTTTATGTAATGAATTTATCTTCTCTATGTTAATATTATGTATAGAGCAATACCCCGATTTACGCGGTCAATTGAACCCGCGGAGGTCCATGTAAAACGAGAAATGCGTAAATGGAATAACAGAACATATGGGATTAATTGAAATAGAGACTGGGCCGACTCCCAAACTCCACTTTTTCCTCCCTCTCTGAGAAATGTTTGTGTGAAAACACTAGATTTTAAGGTAAAGTAATAAATAATATCTCAGACTAAAGTTAGGATAATATAATTGACATTGCTGGATTCCTTGCAAGACCAGGAATATTTTGAATATACACGTCATATATTTTGCACAAAAGATATTTGCTCTGTGTAAACAAAATTCTTGCATTAGATCTAAAATTTGTATGTCTAATGCAAAATCCATGATGTTTACATTCAAAATGTTCATCATATTGTAAGAATTCCAGCAATGTAAATTATATTCTGGCCGGGTAATTTGTATGAATTTTATGAGCTAAAACAAATATCTTCAGTAAATAAAAAAAATATACTTCACCCAGACACTATCTGTCAATCAAAATACCCCACCTCCATCTCCTCCCTCCCTCCCTCCCTCCTCCTCCTCCCTCCTCTCCTCTCCTCCTCCCTCCCTACCCACCCCCCACCTTCCCTTCCTACCAGAGAAATGCTTGGGTTAAAACAGTATATTTACATTTTTAGTAATAAATAATACCTCAGACTAAAGTTAGGATAATATAATTGACATTGCTGGATTCCTTGCAAGTCCAGGAATATTTTGAATATACACGTCATGTATTTTGCACAAAAGATAACATATTTGCTCTGTGTAAACCAAATTATTACATTAGATCTAAAATTTGTATGTCTAATGCAAAATCCATGATGTTTACATTCAAAATGATCATCATATTGTAAGAATTCCAGCAATGTAAATTATATTCTGGCCGGATAATTTGTATGAATTTTATGAGCTAAATAAAAAAAAATTATACTTCACCCGCGTATATGAGTAGATGCTCCGCGTAAAGTGGGAATTCTGGTTCTGGCAGGGTACCGCATAAATGTAGAAACGCGTAAACCAGAACCGTGTAAAGCGGGGTATTACTGTATCTGTATTTTGCTACAGACAGTTATGATTGCTGAATAAAGCCTAGTGGTGCGTCTTGACTTGAGCTTTTTAGTCCAAACGAATCGAACAAGCCGAGAGTGCACGAACGAACCGAACAAGCTGTTTGAGCGCAAGCTCGCTGTATTCTGCGTGTTTGCTGGTGCTCCACTTATTCCCACCATTTTCCTCAGTTTAAGTATGGACTTAACAGTGGCAGCAGTATGCTTTCTTCATTATTTATTCCCTAGCTCAAAAAAGAGGAAATCGAGGAGACTGTGGTTAAGGCAATTTCGACCCATCCACTTCCTGTGTGCTTGTTAAAACCAAAATTATTATTTAAACACTTTGTATTATAATATAATATGATTTCTTATTTATTTATAGCTATTATTTTTCATCATATACATCAATTTTGATGTTTCATAGTTAATTAGTAAAATTGCTTCCCTTTGCTAGTCCCGACAGTTTTCTTTCCCTTCGCCTTTTCCCTCCTGAAGCTGGCAAGCAAGCTTTACATTTTGTTCTTCTCTTCTCCCGGTACATTCAATAACTTGTGCAATGCTAACCCAACAATCATGCTTCTTGGCATTATGTTGGGTATTCCAGAGCTCAGAATACTTCTCATACTCATCAAGTAAGGTTAAACATTTCTTTCTGTCCCACTCCATGATAAATATAAAACATACCGAATAGCTGGAACAGCTCGAACACCCATCCTGACTGCGCACCGATGAACAACTGAATTCTTTTGAGCATACATTATTTGCTGACAAGCTATGGAAAAAGTTTAAGCTATGGAAAAAGTTTGACA